CACGTTCTGCATGGAGCACTGGGTGTTATACGCAAACAATGAATCATGGAACACTACATCAAAAACTAATGATGTAATGTATGGTGATTAACATAATAAAAAAATGCACATGCCTCAAAAAAAGAAGTGCCATGCGTAGCCATTCTTGCTATATTACTGTCTCATTTAAAATTAGCAAATGATTTTCAAGAATTCTGAAAATTAAAAGAAAAATGTGTTTGTTAAATATATCTATAGAAAGTAATTTACTCAGTAAACAGTATTTTTCTGGAGTTGTTATAATAACTTGAATTATTCCATTTCAGGAGATAAATGGCTCTGAGCTATGCTTCCCAAGTGGGCAGAAAATAAAATCTGCTTGTCTTCCCCAAAGGCAGATTCATATACCAGCTGTTTTTCAGTCTCCTGCTCATTATAAGCAGATTTTTACATCTTGTCTCATAGGTATGACTGTTGTCTTTCTATTTTATTATGATTAATTGCTGCTTAGTGTAAGTAGTATAGCTGCGAGAAAGCATAATATCTTATACTGTGACTTTTCATATTAAATTCTCTACTTGAGATTTGTTATTTTCCATGTTTCCTCCGGTTTTCAACAGTAACATATTCTAATTGCAGGTCAAATTGAGTTTCATAAGTGGGAAATGACAGTATTACCTTTTTCAAGTTATAATTTTTCATTTTTTTTAAACTAGAAGTGTTACGAATGGTTTTGTTAAGAAATTTTAAACATGATGCATGATTAGTTTTGATAGTTCTTTTTGTTGTACAAGGGCAAAACTTACCTTTAAAAAAGTGGATATTAGCATTAGGTTATAGATTACTCTGTTAAAAGGCTTTTTTTAAATTTAGCTAACAATACACATGATACAAACAATTATTTTGTATTTAGTTTTCATCTGTACTTATCTTTTTTTTTTTTTTGTAGAACATCTAAATATATTGCTGTTTGGGTTGGCACAGAGGTTGCACAAAGCTCTTTCAAAAGTTGACATATCATTTTACACATCATTAAAGGGAGAGAAACTGAAAAATGTAGAAAGTAATGTGCCATCCTGCCATCATCATCAACCTGCAAAACTTGTCATGGTTAAAAAGGAAGGTCCAAATAAGGTATTGTTCCCTTCCTTGCCTGTTGCCCCACCAAATACTTGTAAAAAATGTAGGTAACTGTTGCTTTATGACAAGCTTAGTTAAAGATCAAGTCTTGATTAGGAGCCACTTGAGGTGTTAGTAACTAACATACAGTAAACTCCCAGGAAATTTTTATTGAAAGATTATCTGTGTTCTAGGATACAAAAGTATGAGTTAAGATCATCCTTCAAGGGGCGCCTAGGTGGCTCAGTCGGTTAAGTGACTGCCTTCGGCTCAGGTCATGATCCCAGGGTCCTGGGATTGAGCCCCGCATTGGGCTCCCCGCTCAGTGGGGAGCCTGCTTCTCCCTCTCCCATTCCCCCCTACTTGTGTTGCCTCTCTTGCTGTCTCTCTCTCTCTGTCAAATAAATAAATAAAATCTTTAAAAAAAAAAAAGATCATCCTTCAGATTGCTTAGGAACTTATTGCATAGTGGTGGATGGAGAAAGAAACATAAAAGGAAATTTTGTATAACAGTGTAACTGATACAGTAGGAGGGATATGCTCAAGTTACAGTTAGAGCACTGAGAAAAGATTATGTCCCAACCTGACGTCTTAGAGAATGCAGAGATGAGCCTGAAAGAAGTGAAAGTTGAAGTAGTCTATTATGTAATCTCCAGTATGAGTAAAAGATAAGGCCTTAGGAATATAAAACATAATGATTTAATTTACATTGCTGATAATGTATTATTATAGAAGAAGTCAAGTTAGTAAAATGTTTATGTATTTCATATATAAATTTAGATATAAATTCAGTTGTCAAAAGCAAGAATTCTTTTTTTTTTTTTTAAAGATTTTATTTATTTATTTGACAGAGAGAGACACAGCGAGAGAGGGAACACAAGCAGGGGGAGTGGGAGAGGGAGAAGCAGGCTTCCCACGGAGCAGGGAGCCTGATGCGGGGCTTGATCCCAGGACCCTGGGATCATGACCCGAGCCAAAGGCAGACGCTTAACGACTGAGCCACCCAGGCGCCCCAAAAAGCAAGAATTCTTAAATATAATATAACCATAGAATAAAATATAGAACCATCAAGTCTTTTTTTTCTTTTTAAGATAATTTGATGACATTGTTGTCATGTGTACAGTATGTTGTGTGTAAAGGTTAGGTTATGGAGTAGAAAACACATCATTATCTGAGTTTTATTTTTTTTTTAAAACAGTATGCATGTGTATATTTTCATGTGCATGTGCACACACTTATGTGAATGACAAAAAAGGCCAAAAAGAAATGCACAAGGTATTTCTTGTAGTTGTTTCTGGGTAGCTTTCTGGTTTTCTATAGTGAACATTTTAAATGGGGAAAACAATAAATTTTATTTTTCAAATAAGCTTATATTCTCAGGATAATGTAATTTTTTGATAAGGAGAAAATAAATGGAAAAGTAGGTGGTTTTAAATTTTAATGTGTTTAAATTGGTATTAATAAAAAGATTAACTTGTATAATGAATAATTTATTGGAGTACGTTAATGCCAGACACAAGTCTTGACAAACACAATACAAAAACAGTAAAATAAAAAATTTCTCTTACTAAATTGTAGTTTATTTTTCCTCTTAGGGTCGTCTCTTTTATACCTGTGATGGACCCAAAGTTGACCGATGTAAATTTTTCAAGTGGCTTGAAGAAATGACCCCAGAATATTTAACACAAGAAGACTGTCTACCTAGCATGGTTTTAAGTGATATAAAGAGTATTGGCTTATACTTAAGAAGTCAAAAGATTCCGCTCTTTGAGGAATGCCAACTTTTGGTGAGGTATGTTTCTTGGTACCAAATAATGCCTGTAATTATATCAGAAAATAATAACCTTACATGATTGTCATCATTTTTTTTTTTTTAAAGGTTTATTTATTTATTTTAGAGAGAGAGTGAGAGAGACAGCGAGTTGGGGGTGGAGCAGAGGCGCGGGGGGTGCAGAATCTCAAGCAGACTCTCCACTGAGCATGGACCTGAGCTGAAATCAAGAGTCAGACGCTTAACCAACTGAGCCACCAGGGGGCCCTGATTATCATTAGTTTTAAAAGAGATTGAGATAGAAAAAACATCTAAAAGTATCTAAAGTCTCAGTTTTTCTAACTGTAAAATGGGAATAATTTTCTAAAGCTATATTTGGCCCCCTCTAAACATCAAGCAGTGTCAACAATATGAAGGTGACTGGCAGGCATGCTATTTTTCTTATCATTTTTTTAATTATTTTTTTAAGATTTATTTACTTATTTATTTGACAGAGAGACAGCAAGAGAGGGAACACAAGCAGGGGGAGTGGGAGAGGGAGAAGCAGGCTTCCCGCAGAGCAGAGAGCCCGACGTGGGGTTCGATCCCAGGACCCTGGGATCATGACCTGAGCCGAAGGCAGAGGCTTAATGACTGAGCTACCCAGGTGCCCCTCTAATCATTTTTATATACGGTCACAATCAACCATAAGAATAATTTTTATCAGTGCAGGATAATAGTGGTCATTCATAAGCCTGAACTAGGTAGTTTTATAGGGTAATAGAATGCTACATTTTGTTTTGTTTTATTTTTATTTTTTAAAGATTTTATTTATTTATTTATTTGAGAGAGTGAGAGAGAGCACATGAGAGGGGGAAGGGTCAGAGGGAGAAGCAGACTCCCTGCTGAGCAGGGAGCCCGATGTGGGATTCGATCCTGGGACCTGGGATCCTGGGATCATGACCTGAGCCGAAGGCAGTTGCTTAACCGACTGAGCCACCCAGGCGCCCCTGTTTGGTTTGTTTTAAAGATTTTATTTATTTATTTGACGGAGACAGTGAGAGCAGAACACAAGCAGGGGGAGTGGGAGAGGGAGAAGCAGGCTTCCCACTGAGTGGGGAGCCCAATGTGGGGCTCGATCCCAGGACCCTGGGACCATGACCCAAGCCGAAGGCAGACGCTTAAGGACTGAGCCACCCAGGTGCCCCCAGAATGCTACATTTTGGAAACATGTCTTATAAAAGTGGGATTATCCAAAATGTAGCTATAATGAACATTTGCATGGTAATTTAATAACATCTATGGGGAGTTTATACATGCTCTGCACTCTTCTAAGCACTTTGCATGTATTATTTCATTTAATCATCATAATAACCTAGAAAATAGGGAAATAATGGGGATAATTTATTATAGTTATTAAAACTGAGATATACTCTTTTATATACTTCTTGGATACTTTTCCTATCTCAGTCTCTTTTAAAACTAATAATAATTCTGTGATGGTTGCTATTTTCTTCCTTTGACACAATACTTTTTTATTTTGTGTACATGTATGAAAGTACATAAACATACACTCACCCTGGTTCTTTCCTTTTAATATTGTATTTTAAAGATGAAAAGAAAAAGATTTGTACCTTCAAACTTCCACTTATAAAGTAAGTCCTGGAATTATAATGTACAGTATGGTAACTGTAGTTAATAATACTGTATTATATATTTAAAAGTTGCTAAGAGAGTAGATCTTAATAGTGCTCCTCTTAGGCACCTGGGTGACTCAATCAGTTAAGCGTCCAGCTCTTGATTTTGGCTCAGTTCCTGATCTCAGGGTCATGAGATCGAGCCCCACATTTGGCTCTGTGCTCAGCGGTAAGTCTGCTTGAGATTCTCTCTGCCCCTCCCCCACCAAATACATAAATAAATTTTTTAAAAAATGCTCATCACAAGGAGAACAATTTGTAACTGTGGTGATGGATGTTAACTATACTTACTGTGGTGATCATTTCATAATATATACATATATCGAACCATTTTATTGTACACCTGAAACTACTATAATGTTGTATGACATTTATATCTCAGTAAAAAATTTGTACCTTAATACTTAAATTCATTTTTATTTTTTACTCATTTTTCAGAAAAGGAATTGATTTTCAAAGAAAGCAGTATGGCAAACTAAAGAAGTTTACTACTATAAATCCTGAATTTTATACTGAACCTAAAAGCAAACTTTATCTTAAGCTGAGTCGGAAGGAAAGTTCTTCAACATACAGCAAAAGTAAGTTAATTGATCATTTTGGTAACTGAGTCTAGCCTTGTATCTCAGTTACATAACAGCTCTGTAAATTCTTTATATTAAAGAGGTTTTATAAAATATTGTTTAATAGCATATATTGTGAATTATTGTATAATAAATTGGACCATTTCCAAAAAGCTATTTTAAAATTTTAGTTTTTTAAAAAACTTTACTAAAGGATCCCCAAATCTATTTAATTTTGTTTAAAAAATTGTACTAGCTTCTCAGCATTATATAAATAACTATATTAATTCAGTTGTACTATGACCCAATATCAAAAATAAACTGAAAATGCAATGATTTTATTGATATTTCTGTCATTGCACAATTTGACAACAATGGACCACAAGTTTTATATATTTGGAAGTAAAATCCTTAAAAGAATTTTTTCTAAGGTGTTTAGATGCGCTAAATTGGGTTAATCATTATCTTTGGTTTCATGACCTACTCCTATCATTGGTCCTCATGTAGCTTGCTTTAATTATTTAGTTATTTTAAATAATGTAAGTGTCTGTGAATCTATAAACCAAAGCAAAATCAAGTACCTTTATAGCTACCTACCTTTAATATAGAGTAACCCCAATAACTCATCTGGCTGTCTCTCCTAAAGTAATTATCATTTTCATCCCTGTGTTCATCAACATCTTGCTTCTCTTTGTTTATAGGTTTATATAAATGAATTCCTAAAGAGCATACACTTGACTATTGAACAACATAGGTTTGAACTGTGCAGGTCTACTTATACATGACTTTTTTAATAAATTCAGTACAGTACTATAAATATATTTTCTCTTATGATCTTTTTTTTTTTAAAGATTTTATTTATTTATTTGATAGAGAGAGACAGTGAGAGAGGGAACACAAGCAGGCGGAGTGGGAGAGGGAGAAACAGGCTCCCTGCTGAGCAGAGAGCCTGATGCGGGGCTTGATCCCAGGACCCTGGGATCATGACCTGAGCCGAAGGCAGACGCCTAACGACTGAGCCACCCAGGCGCCCCTCTCTTATGATTTTCTTAATATTTTTTTCTATCTTTATTATAAGAATATAACATATAATTCATATAACACACAAAATATGTGTTAATCAACTGTTTATGCTATCTGTAAGGTTTCTGGCCAGTAGTCTATTAGTAGTTAAGTTTGGGGGAGTTGAAAGTTATATGCAGATTTTTGACTGCGGGAGTTCAGCACCCCTAACCTCCATATTGTTCAGGAGTCAGTTGTATTTTAAATTTCTGAATGAAGGAAGCATTATATTGATTTGTTGATTGCATTCTAGCACAAACTACATGTTGCAGACCCAAAACAAAACTATTTAAGATAGACTACTTTGAATAGCACTAATCTAAATCCATAAATTTTAGGTTAGTATGGATTTATTTCCTATCCTTGAACATAACTACCTTTTAAAAGAGGCCTATAAACTTGTCCAAGGTAATTTAATTACATTTATTTCATGTTTCCCTTTTAGCATCTTCTGGATTTTTCTCATTAATATATTTCATCAAAAACTATTTTGAATGTAGGTCTTTGAATGGTAAACCTCCTAAGCCTTGAATACTTGAGAATATTTTTATTGTACATTCATATTTGAATGATAGTTCTGCTACATTTAGAATTCTAGGTTTTAAGTTCTTTTCATTTAATACTTTGGGCCTACAGAAGCAGCAATTTTATATGTTTTAAGTAAATATTAATATACTTGGTTATGTGCTTGCTGTTGAAAAATCTGGTGGCATTATGATTCTTACTCCTTTACATGTTATTTGCTCTTTCTGGTTGGAAGCTTTAGAATTTTAATTTTTCTCTGACTTTTAGTCTTATATTTCCCTATAATGTATCTAAATAAGAGTTTTTCCTTTTTCTCCTCTTGGGCACACTGTTGGCCTTTTAAGTCTAAAGTCCTCTATCTCCAAACTCATCCAGTATAAGCATTAAATATATATAGCTTTTTGTATGTCATTTATATCTCCATAGGGTGTTTTGTTTTTTTGTTTGTTTTTTTTTTAAATACTGAAGTCAGGGCACCTGGGTGGCTCAGTCGGTTAATAAGTGTCTGCCTTCGGCTCAGGTCGTGGTCCCAGGTCCTGGGATTGAGCCCTACGTGGGGCTCCCTGCTCAGTGGGGAGCCTGCTTCTCCCTCTTCCCCTTGCTTGTGCTCTCTCTCACTATCTCTCTCTCTCAAATAAATAAATAAAAGTCTTAAAAAAAATACTAAAGTCTTTTATCTTTTCTATTTTTTAAATTCTGGCAAATTGATTTCCACTATTTCTTCAAATAATCTTCATTTTATTTTTATTTCTCTCTCTAGGACTTTTCCAATATTAGCATCTTTGACTCTCAACATTTCTTTTATATTGTCTGGGCTTTTGTCCCTTCTTCTTTCTGGGAAACATCCTCAGTATGGTCTTCTAAATTGCTTAGTTAGTCCTCAGATATATCCATTCTCCTATTTATCCCATCAGTTATAACTTTATTTCAACTACAATATTTTTCAACCTAATATTTTTGTTCATTTCTTTTTCCTTATTTTCTTGGTCTTATTTTGCATTGCTACTATCATCTCTTATCTCATAAAAAAATCTCTTTTCAGGCTAAATTTAAATTATTTGTCCATCTGTTCTGGTATTTCCTTTTCTGTAGGACTCTGTAATCCAGTATGTTTTTCTTTGAAGTCTTTGTTCTTCTTAAATGTCTCATTATTTTGGCCTGTAAACGAATTTTCCCCTGGTGGTATCAGCTGCTGTTTCTGGCAATGCAAATGGGTGAAGGTGGACCCCAGCCTGGTTAGCTCCAATGAGGTCAGGGAGTTGGGTTTAGTCCCAGATCTGCCATTTACTGGCCTTGTATCTATGGATAATTTATTTAACTTCTTTGGGCCTCAGTCTTCCTTCATCAATAAAATGGTGATAATAATAGCACCTGTCTGACATTTAAAATGTCTGTTGACCCAGAATATAATATGTGTTACTGTGTGGGGTTTTTTGTTGTTACTGTTTTTTTTTTTTTTTACTTTATTTTTTTTTATTATGGTATGTTAATCACCATACATTACATCATTAGTTTTTGATGTAGTGTTCCCTGATTCATTGTTTGCGTATAACACTCTGTGCTCCATTCAATACGTGCCCTCTTTACTACCCACCACCAGGTTAACCCATCCCCCCACCCCCCTCCCCTCTAGAACCCTCAGTTTGTTTCTCAGAGTCCATAGTGTTGTTATTGTTTTTTTAAGATTTTATTTTTTTAAGTCATCTCAGCACCCAACGTGGTGTTCAAACATACAACCCTGAGTCACATGTTCCACCAAGCCAGCCAGGTGCACCAGGCTTATTGTGTTTTATTAAAAAAAAAAATATTCCCATAGATACATGACCTGCCAATAGATTCTGATCTATTTGTCTAACTCTGGTGGCAGTAGTTATGTAGTTTGCTGCCCTGTTTCTCTATCTTAAAGTCCTCCTGGCAGTCTTTGTTTTAGCCAAAGACTAAATTAGCCTCAAAACAAATCCTGGAGTCAGCTGTTCCAAGAGTGATAGGATTATTCCATCATCCATTAATTAATGTCCCAGCTGACCTTCGACACTCACAATTCCTCTTTGTCCCCTTGGTGGTGAAGTTGGGGTTATCCTGGGAATCTGCTGGGAAAACTCTTCCTCTCTCCCCCAATCCCAGAATTCCTTTCTATCATCTATAAAGGATTAGGAGTTTCCTAGATTTGTAAGATTTTTATCATCATCCTTTACTATTCTCTTTGTGGCTTCTGTAAGAATCTCACTGCTCTGAGGTAGGCATGCCTTTCCCTTTCCCACTGGCTGTTTTCTAACATTATATTAGATTTGTATTTTAAATTTTTCAGTGGGATATAGAGAGAAAGGAAAGGTGGACAATTTTTTTCTGTCAACTATATTGAATTGGAGATCTTTTTAAAAATTGTGGTGATGGTTGGATTAAATAAATATTAGCAAATAAGGAATAAATTGTTTATATGTTACCTCAGTTGGCATTGTTTTTTTTCTTTTTGAGAGAGAGAGACAGAGAACAGGGGAGGGGCAGAGGGAGAATGAGAGTCTTAAGCAGGCTCCAAGCTCAGCGCAGAGCCCCAGGTGGGGCTCGATCTCACGACCCTGAGATCATGGCCTGAGCTGAAATCCAGAGTCAGATGCTTAACTGCCTGAGCCCCAGGCGCCCGGCAAATATTTTTAAAAATTAAATATAAAATATACTATAATATAAATCAGCTTTTTCTAAAGTATAAACATTTTCTAAAACAATAGTTCTATGGGGGTATTGATAAAAGTCAATGTAAAAAAAATAGATTCTGTGTTTAAATAAATTTGGAAAATGCTGTGTTAAGCAAATAACCTTAATCTAAGATTTTTCAGAACCTTAAATATGCTGATGCATTGGACTTTCCAAGATGGGAATGTAGCCAGTAAATGATCTTTTCTGATGCAGTTGAGACTCGTGATTTGTCAGTTAATTTTCAAAGTTCATTTAAGTTAAGGATTATAATAAATAATGCATATGAACATTTAAACTTAAAATATTTGAATATATTTTTATTTAATGATCTTTTGATGAAGAATTAAGGCTTTTGCTTAGACTATGGGTTTTTTGATTGGTGATCATTTTTATCTTGTATATACCATACCCACAAATACACCACCCATAAAGATTTACCATTCTGGGGCACCTGGGTGGCTCAGTTGTTAAACGTCTGCCTTCGGCTCGGGTCATGATCCCAGGGTCCTGGGATCGAGCCCTGCATTGGGCTCCCTGCTCAGCGGGAAGCCTGCTTCTCCCTCTCCCACTCCCCCTGCTTGTGTTACTGCTCTCACTAACTCTCTCTCTCTCTGTCAAATAAATAAATAAAATCTTTAAAAAAAAAAAAAAAGATTTACCACTCTGAATTCTTAAACATGGAGCAAGAACGTGTGAACCAATCTAAGTGTAGAGTGATTTAAATTTTTTCAATCTCTTCTAATCTTTTACATATATCTCATCTATACTTGAGTCAAAGGCAGTTTTTTTGTGTTTTGTGGCTAAAATTTTTAAAGCAAATCTTAAGTCTTTCTAAATTATTTAATTTTCTTAAAGCAACAATTATTTTTCTTCATACTCATAATGGTTCAAATAATATCTGATTAAGTTATAATATTATAACTAATCCAACTGGTATAAATAAGTTTTAGAACAAATACAATTGACTCTTTGTATTAACTCAACTGGTGGTAGAAACGGTGTACAGGTATTGTGGAAAATAGCCTACTAGCTATGAGTACTCAGTATGCTGTGGAGATGGCATGTTATACAGAAGAACATTAATTAATCTAGAGCATCAGTTAAGTAGAAGTCTGTTAAGAGAACTTGTATTCTATCCACAGATTGCCAACTTTATTTGCGCATGAAAACCATTATATGGCAGAGCATCTTTTTAGACTAATGTTCTACCTTGGGAAAGTCTGATATAGCTATAAAGTTGTTTTATAAGAAAGATGAGTTAGATGTTATGTTGCTTTATTTACATTTTTTAATATAATCATAAAATAACTTTAAAAACATAAAAGTAATTGCATTAAAACATGAAAATGTTACTTATTCAGATCTTAGTTTGGGTGGAATCTGGTAGATAATAACTAATTTTGGTTTTTGAGAAATAACATATGACTAGGCATGTAAGAAATCCAAAGTAGTTTTGAATTGAGCATAGTTCTGAGTTCTTTAAAAAATGTTTGTCTTGGGTGCCTGGGTGGCTCAGATGGTTAAGCTTCTGCCTTCGGCTCAGGTCATGATTCCAGGTCCTGGGTTCGAGTTCTGCATCGGGCTCCCTGCTTCTCCCTCTGCCTCTCTCTCTCTCTGTCTCTTATGAATAAATAAATAAAATCTTTAAAAAAAAATGTTTGTCTTTTCAGATGATCTTTGGGTGGTTTCAAAAACCCTGGACTTTGAATTGGATACTTTTATTGCATGTAGTGCTTTCTTTGGACCATCATCTATCAATGAGGTGGAGCTACTACCTTTGAAAGGTTATTTCCCCTCTAACTGGCCCACTAACGGTAAGTGTTATCATGCCCATATTAATTTATATTAAAAGAAGAACGATAGACATAAGATGCATTGTGAGCAAGGATGCTAACTTTGTGTGGGATTATTTGATTAAGGCCAACAAAAAGCCAACCACCTCAGGGCGCCTGGGTGGTTCAGTCGGCTGTGTCTGATTCCTGATTTCAGCTCAGGCCATGTTCTTAGGGTTGCGAGGGTGGGGCTCTGCACTGGGCTTGGAGCCTGCTTAACATTCTCTCTCTCCCTCTCCCTTTGTTCCTCCCCTCTGCCCCCCTCCCTGGCTCACACACACTCTCTCACAAAAAAAAAAAAAGCATCCATCTCTATTTCCTGAAAATATGTGTAAAAGTTGAATATATAAATATTTCTGCAGTTCAAGTCTCAGAGGGCTAACAATATAATAAAATCTTGAACCCTCACTTAAGGATTTGTTAAAGTTGATTTGTTTTTTAAGATCCATCTATTTATTGGGGCACCTGGGTGGCTCAGTCGGTTAAGCATCTGCCTAAGGCTCAGGTCATGGTCCCAAGGTCCTGGGATTGAGCCCCGTATCGGGCTTCCTGCTCGGTGGGAGGCCTGCTTCTCCCTCTTCCTTTCCCCCTGCTTGTGTTCCCTCTCTCGCTCTCTCTCTAATAAATAAATAGAATCTTAAAAAAAAAAAAAATGCATCCATTTATTATTTGAGAGAGAGATAAAGAGAGGTGGGGGGGCATAGGAAGAGGGAGAGAGAATTTCAAGCAGACTCCACACTGAGCACGGAGCCCAGTGCGGGGCTCGATCTCATGACCCCGAGAACACAACCCTCAGCCGAAACCAAGAGGTGGACACTTAACCGGCTGTGCCACCCAAGCTCCCCTAAAGTTGATTTTTATATAACTGATTTTTAAAAATATAAACATTAAAAGTATAAATAAGAATTTTATTAAATCATTTCTTACATTAAGTTCTGATTCTCTTGGTTTTTTTAATTCTTTTGGTTTATTAGTCTAATAGGGTACATTTAGTAAACACATCATTTCTTTTTACATTGAGAAGGTCTTGTAGATTTTATAGGGATTTTGCCAGCAATGGAACAGGAAGGTATGATTTTTATTTTGAGAAAGTTTTAATAAGATAGTAGGCTACCATCCTTATTATTATTTTTTTTATTTTTATTTTTTTTA